GTCACTTTTTCCATTTGCCGGGATCCGCGAACTGGTCGAGCCTTGAGCTTTGCTTCTTGCCGTGATCGTTTCTCTTGAACTTCAGAAGATTCTGTCTTGGGAGGGGAAGGGAAATGGATTTTCTTTTCGTTCCAAGGGTTCCAACCCTTCACGTAACTCTCTATTTCCTCGTTGTCTATGAGTTTCTGAAGAGCCTTCTGACTCTCCTGAGCGGTAGTCAGTAAGGCTCGTAGCTTTTCGGTCGGTCCTTCGCGAGTAGCAACTTGACATTGTCTCCAGAGCGAGACGTGCTCTTTGACCCGGAGTTTGATCTGGTCTTGTTTCGATAAGACTCTGATCTCTGGAGTTATAGGGCGTTTCGGGGTAGCTTCCGAGCATTCTGAATCTATCTCGTCTACTTCCATTTCCATACCCTTCTCCGTAATCGGAGGCGGGTCTTCTTGGATCGGCATTTCCTTTCCTAGAGACTTCATCGTTGTTTCTTTGCGTGTTATCGTGGTCATCTTGAGATTCTCTACTCTCAATTGCAGCTCCTTTGCTGCCGCGAGGTCGCGTTGGAGCCGGGAGGAGTCCTCGTAGTTCGGGACGGTTGGATCTGGTTGATTTAGTCATCGTCAATTATAAGGAATCAGTTAAGAGATTCTTCGGAATTTCGAAGGTTTTTTTTTTTTTTTTTTTTTTTTTTTGACTGACGTTCAGAGGTTCTACTAACGGAGCCGTCGTCGGTATCTACTGAAGGTGTCGGACTGGCTCTTTCCGTTCTTATAACGCCTACTTCGAAAGCGGACACTAAAAAAATAGAGCAGAGGTTTTAGTTTTGGACAAGAAGACAGTAACGCTTCGTTAAAAAAATAATGAACCGACTTTTCTCAAGATATCTCCTCTGTTGGAGTTGTAGATTCTTTGCACGAATTTCTCTGAGGAAATTCCTGAATCACAGTTGTTCTTCTAGATCTTCCTCCTGATGAACGTGAGCGTGGTAGGTAGCGAGAAGAAGCTGTTCTTCTTTGGATAATCTTTCCCAAGGAGTAGGGATATAATCGCGATCTCGTTCTTCTTTTCGTAACCTAAGTATAACAAGATAACGCTGGATTAATTCGGCGTTCTCTTGCAAATTCACTGAGGAGGGGGAAAAGAGTTTTTGGACGACGCAGGGATTAATTTTTTATTGATTTTTAAAGTAATGATGATAAGGGATTCGAAAAAGATGTGTATATTTTGTGGATTTAGTTTTTTTTTTTTGTAATGGAAAAAAGTTGTATCTGTTTTTGTATTTTTAATTTTTTCTGAAAAAGATGACCGTAAAAAAATGGAAAATTTTTTATGGGTTGGATTAATTTGGTATAAGAAAAAAGTAAGAATAAATTCCAGGTGGCTTATTTTATTAAAAGGGTGATTTTAATAAAATTTTCCCGGCCAGACCCCCAATTGTCAGCCTACGTGATGCCAAGATGTAAAATCTTCTAGCTACACGTGGTGCAAAAGTAAACAAAAAGCTTATAGATTTTTGGTTTTAATTTTAAAGGAATAAATTCCAATAAAATAAGGGAATTTATGGGTTTAATTAATAGGAAAAAATGGCCAATTTATATTAATAAAATTAATATAAATAAAACCAGAGGGGCCTGATGAATCAGGGGTGGTTTAATCCCTCTAAGGTATCGTGCAAAAGCAGAGGATTTAGGTACCTGGAACACTGGGGCCTGTGAACAGGTGTG